TTTTAATGCAATTTTATCTTCCTAGAAAGTCTGACATTTTTATGTCACCCACAGCTTATAGTTTAGGGAGGTGAGAATCAGAGAGAAAAAATAACTTGCTAAGGTTAAGCTAGTAAATAAGAATTAAAGTTTGAATTCATCTTTTCTCTTTTATAGTTTGGATATGTGTCCCCACCCAAACCTCATGTTAAATTTTCATCCCCAGTATTGGAGGTGGGGCTTGGTGGGAGGTGACTGAATCATGTGAATTAATTTCTTGTGAATGGTTTGGCCCCATTCTCTTGATGCTGTCCTCACCATAGTGAGTTCTTGTGAGACCTGCTTGTTTAAAAGTGTGGCACCTTTACTCTTTCTCTTGCTCCTGCTTTTCCCATGTGATATGACTGTTCCCCCTTTGTCTTCTGCTGTGATTGGAAGCTTCCTGAGGACTACCCAGAAACAGATGCTGCTATGCATCCTGTACAGCCTGCAGAACCATGAGCCAATTAAACCTCTTTTCTTATAAATTACCCAGTCTTAAGTATTTCTTTATAGCAGTGCAACTGCTCTCCAACTTTATTATCAGTGCTCTGTCCATTTCCACACTCTTCTCCACACAGCTTCCTTCTTCCTTATTAAATACAATGTATCTCAGAGGGGATCCTTGACCTATTTCTCTCATCCTATTGTTTTTCTCACATAACCAATTTATTCTCTCTCTTTTTAAGAGACTGTGTCTCACTCTGTCACCCTGGCTGGAGTTCAGTGGTGCAATTGTAACCCATTGCAGCCTTGAACTCCTGGATGCAAACATTCTCCTGCCTCAGTCTCCAAAGTAGCTGGGGTTAGAGAAGCAAGCTACCATGCTTGACTCTTATTTATTTTCATGAACTCAGCAACTGTCATAGAATCTTAAATCTATATGGCCCCTCTTGAGCTATCTCTACAACTCTAGTCTTATGTTTTAATTTTTAGATAGTAGATATTTAACATATATTGTCACTTAATCTGTGGTAATCACTTGTTATCAAATGAAGCCTTAGGTCATTAATGCATTTAATGCTCACAACACTACAAACAAGTTCTGTACTTGCACATTTTACTTTTAAGGAAATTGAGGACGATAAATGTAAATTGCCCAAAGACACAAAGTTTGATATTTCTCCTTGGATGGACCGACCTTTATCAATAACAATGCCTAAATTCTCTCTTACCTCTAGACTTGCTGGCAAAGGAAAAAGAACTTATTAGGAATTATTTTCTGATGCCATAATTTAACCGATAGTATGTATTTGCATTGCCTACACACATATATATATATATCCATCCAAATCTAAGTAGTTGACATTGAATTTTGATATCGGTTTGATGCTGCAAGCCAATAGGTTCCAGAACTAAAAATATTTAGAGGGTCTCTGAGACCATTTATAAGATTTTTCTCTTAAACCTCCTTATGTCATTAGACTATGGGAGCTCTTACATAGTCTAATGTGCACTGATGTTTAATTCTTAATTTAAGATTCTTATTAATGGTCACAGACAACTTTGATTCTGTCATTCTCATGCTAGACACTGTGCTAGTTACCAGGAAAACAAGAAATGTGAAAGAAAAGAGATAATCCAAATAAACACAATTTAAAATGAAAAAAGAGATATTACAACTGATACCACAGAAATACCGAAGATCATCAGAAACTATTGTGAACAATTACATGGTCACAAATGAAAAAATCTAGAGGAAACTGATAAATTGCTGGAAACACACAACCTACCAGGATTGAACCAGGAAGAAATAGAACTCCTGAACAGACCAATAATGAGTAGTGAGATTGAATCAGTAATAAAAAAAACTTCTCAACAAAAAAAAAGCACAGGACCAGATAAATTCACAGTCGAATTGTACCAAACATACAAAGAATAACTAATATCAATCCTCCTCAAACTATTCAAAAAAAAAAAAAAATGAGGTAGAAGAAATTCTCCCTAACTCATTCTATGAAACAAGTATTACCGTGATACCAAAACCAGACAAGAATAGAACCAAAAGAGAAAACTACAAATCAAAATCAATATCTCTGATGAACATAGATGCAAAAATCCTTAACAAAATACTAGCAAATCAAATCCAATAACACATCAAAAAATGATAAGTCATGATCAGGTGGAATTTATCCCAGGGTTCAGGGATGGTTCAACATATGCAAATCAATAAATGTGATGTATCACATAAACAGAATTAAGGACAAAAACCATATGATCATCTTAATAAAAGTAGAAAAAGCACACAATAAAATTCAGCATCCCTTCAAATGAAAATCCTGAACAAAACAGGCATAGAAGAAACATACTTCAACATAATAAAGGCCATGTATGACCAACCCACAGCCAGCATCATACTCAATGGGGGAAAGTTGAAAGCATTCCCCCTGATAACCAGAACAAGACAAGGATGTCCACTTTCACCGCTCTTATTCAATCTAGTACTGGAAGTTTTTGCCAGAACAATCGGGCAAGAGAAAGGCATCCAAATTGAAAAGGAGGAAATCAAATATCCCTGTTCACAGATGATATGATTTTGTATCTGGAAAATTATAGCAACTCCACCAAAAATCTCTTAGATTTGATAAATAAATTCAGTAAACTTCAGAATATAGAATTAACATGCAGAAGAATCAATAATGTTTATATGCACCAATAAGGATCTAGCCAGAGCCAAACCAATAAGGCAATCACATTTCCAATAGCTAAAAGATAAACAACGAAACAAACAAAAAAACTACTTAGGAATATATTTAACTAAGACAGTTAAAGGTCTCTATAAGGAAAACTACAAAACACCAACAAAAGAAATCATAGATGACACAAACAAATAGAAAACCATCGCATGCTCATGGATTTGAAGAATCAATATCATTAAAATGATCATATTGCCTACTCAAAGCAATCTACAGATTCTACTTATTTCCTATCAAATTCGCAATGCCATTTTTCAAGGAATTAGAATAAACAATACTAAAATTTATATGGAGTGAAAAGAGAGCCCAAATAGCCAAGGCAATCATAAACAAAAATAACGAAGCTGGAGGCATCATATTACTTGACTTTGAACTATACTACAATGCTATAGTAAGCAAAACAGCATTGTATGGATGATAAAAAAAAAAATAGACACATAGATCAATGGAACAGAACAGAGAACACAGAAATAAAGCCACATACCTAAAACCAACTGATTTTTGAGAAAGTCAACAAAAATGTACACAGATGAAATGATACTTTATTCAATAAATGCTGCAGGGAAAATGGGATAGTCACATGCAGAAGGCTATCCCATAGGACTGATATCTCTCACCATATACAAAAATTAACTCAAGGTAGATTAAAACCTAAATGTAAGACCTGAAACTATAGAAACACTAGAAGATAGCCTAGGAAAAACTCTTCTGGATAATGGCCTAGGCAAGAATTCATGAGCAAGTTCTCAAAACCAAATGCAACAAAAACAAAAATAGAAAAATGGGACTTAATTAAACTAAAAAGCTTCTGCATAGCAAAAGAAACAATAAACAGAGTAAACAGAAAACCTGTATAATGGGAGAAAATATTTGCCAACAATGCATTCAGCAAAGAGCCAATATTGAGAATCTATAAGGAACTCAAATAACAACAACAAAAAACCCTCACAAACAAACCCATTAAAAAATGGACAAAGGACAAGAGCAGACATTTTTCAAAAGAAGACATACAAGCAGTCAACAAACATATGAAAAAATGCCCAATATCACTAATCATCAGAGAAATGCAGCCCAGGTACAGTGGCTTATGCCTGTAATCCCAGCACTTTGAGAGGCCAAGGTGGGTGGATCACTTGAGGTCAGGAGTTTGAGACCAGCCAGGCCAACATGGCGAAACCCTGTCTCTACTGAAAACACAAAAATTAGCTGGGCATGGTGGCAGGTGCCTGTAATTCCCAGCTTCTTGGGAGGCTGAGGTGGGATTATTGCTTGAACCTGGGAGGTGAAGGGAGGTTGCAGTGAGCTGAGATGGCACCACTGCACTCCAGCCTGGGTGACAGAGCAAGATTCTGTCTCAAAAAAAAAAAAAAAAAAAAAAAAAAAATTAAAACCACAATGAGATACCATTTTACACCAGTCAGAATGTCTATTATTAAAAAGTCTAAACATATCCCATATTGGCCAGGATATCGAGAAAAGGGAATGTTGCCCACTGTTGACAGGAATGTAAATTAGTACAACCTTTATAGGAAACAGTATGGAGATTCCACAAAGAACTAAAAATAGAACTACCATTTGGAGGCCGGGCGCGGTGGCTCACGCCTGTAATCCCAGCACTTTGGGAGGCCGAGACGGGCGGATCACGAGGTCAGGAGATCGAGACCATCCTGACTAACACGGTGAAACCCCGTCTCTACTAAAAATACAAAAATTAGCCAGGCGCGGTGGCGGGCGCCTGTAGTCCCAGCTACTCGGGAGGCTGAGGCAGGAGAATGGCGGGAACCCGGGAAGGCGGAGCTTGCAGGGAGTGGAGATCGCGCCACTGCACTCCAGTCTGGGCGACAGAGCGAGACTCCGTCTCAAAAAAAAAAAAAAAAAAAAAAAAAAAAGAACTACCATTTGGTCCAGCAATATTACTACTAGGTATATACCCAAAGGGGAATAAATTATTATATCAGAAAGGTAACTACACTTACATGTTTATCATGGCACTATCCACAATAGCAAAGTTATAGAATTAATCTGTGTCCATCAACAGAGGACTGGATAAAGAACATATGTGTAAAGGTAAACTGAGGCTGGAGCCGAACCGGGAACGAAGACACAAGGCAAATGGCAGTGAGAATAGCTTTTTATTAGGGCTTGCGGGGAGGTTCCTCGCTCCAAAGGCGTGGGCGGAGGAAGTTGCGCTGAGGGAGGAGGGTAGGGGCCTTTTATAACCTGAGAGGTAGGGAAGCTGGTTGTGCAAACAGGGCCTGGGGGGTCTTGAAACTCCTAGGGCAGGAGTTGAGTAGGGTCACGAGGAAGAGGTCTTTGGAAACTGTTAACCGAAGCTGCTGTTTACGAACTTGTGGAATGTAGGTGAGCTGCCGGTCATGGTGGGGTGTGGTTGCCCAGCCAGAACTCTGACACATGTAAGTTTGCGGGTGTGTACAAGGGTGAAGAGAGTCTTTAACAAAAGGCCTGCTATGCCGAGTAATGCCACCATGTTGGGTCTAGATTCCTGCCTAACAATATGGTGTATATACACCATGAAATACTACTCAGCCATATAAAAGAATAAAATCACGTCTTTTACAGCAACATGGATGAAACTGGAGGCCATTATTTTAAGTGAAATAACTCAAACTGAAAGTTCAATGCTGAGTGTTCTCACGTATACATGGGAACTAAACAATGGGCACACATACAGAATGGAATAATAGACATTGGAGACTACAAAACATGGGAGAGTGGGAGGGTCTTGAGGGCTGAAAAATTACCTATTGGGTACAAAGTCCAGGCTTCAGCATCATGCAATATATGTGTGTAAGAAATTTGCACTTTTACTCACTAGATATATAAAAATAAAAGATTACTTTTTAAAAAATGTTGAAAAAGAATGGACATACTGAAAAAAAACTTTCCCGATATCGTGGACCTTCAATTTATAAAGATCATTACACTTTTACTCAACCCAATTTCTTCTACCCAAAATCAGACAGGAAAATGCTTGTGTTACTTTTCTGTTCACTAACAAACCTGAGGTATAGCCTCTGACTCCTAGGATGTGGCCCTTTAAGCAACCACAACTCACTTCATAGAAGATGTTCATTTATATGTAGTTAATTAAATTATATTTTTGTGTTTATTATGGGATTTTCTATTTTACCTAGGTTTTTTAGTCATTTTTCCTAAAAATATATATTGCCCATAAAATATCCAAATATTTCCTCAAATTCTAATGATTGACTGTGACTATGGAAGGCTTTCTTTTCTGTTTCTGTTAACACTTGTTCAGTAAATTGTTAATAAGCAATTTGAGAAAAGTGATTAGCCATTTATTTGGATAACTATGATTTTAGTTAGGATAATATTTGAAGAGGCAATCATTTTTTCCAGTAGCATGAACAGATCAGTAGCTCAGGCTAGGGACTATTTCCTCTATTTTAGTATTTTGCAAACATGTTATTCTCCTCATTGAGGATTAATAGGCCCCTTTAATATCTTAGAAGAAGTGGGCCACTGTCAGAAACAAATGAGAAGAACCAGATTTTGGTGGTTCATGTTTATGTGTGTGTGTGTGTTTATTTGTTGTTCATTTAGTTTCAGAAAGAACAGACAGTATTCTTTATTATTGATTGATGAACGTTTTGGTCCAACATAAATCATTGATTCATCCATTAAAAAGTAGTTGTGTTTACTACATAATGCTCTTAAATCAAATGAATATTGAATACCATACGGAGCAGAAACTTGTCATTGATAAGCCTTCTGTTTGGATGTATACAATGAACAATGCCTTATTACAAACTGCTTCTTAAGTCAGACTCAGAAAAAGTAGCACAAAAATCACATTAAAAATGCCAACAATGGTAGTCATTTACAGTGCATTTTAATGCCTTATGTCCCAAGTAAGTGTTTTTTCCTTTCTTTTCTTCTTCCTTTTCTTTCAATAGTTTTGTGACCTGAAGTAGTGTATTTCAGTTAAAAGGCAAATAATAGTTTTAGTGAGCATTTGCATTTTAAAACTCATGCTTAAAAAATAAGTTCATTGGAGTTTCTCTCTAACCTAATCCTCAGGGCCAATTCTATGGGATTTTTTTTTTAAATAGGTAAAACACTGAGTAAAATAAATAAGCCATTGTCCCCCCCCCCCCACCCACCGCATTTGCCTTTCTCAAAACTTGATGGAATTACAGGTGTTGTGGAAGGGGAAACAAAGAAGGTTAAAATTATAGCCTTTGTGAGGAACAAAGATAAGCTTTGTTGCACTGGTTTAAAAATACAGGACTTTTTTTTTAAAGATATAATAATGGCAAAACATTGTAGAAATATTTTCTAACCACATAACTGGTGAGTATGAAATAAGCTGATATGTGATTTGTTATCTGTTCCTCAGATATAATAATCATTTATTTTATGGTTATCAATATAAAATAGAAATTGCCCTGCAAGTCCTTTAAAATGAATACCAAGAAACCAGCATTTTTGAGTATCATTACCAAACAAATCATTTTAAAATGTAATGGAATAAACATTCTATTATGTCAATCTATCTCATGTTAAATTGGAAGGGAGAACCTGTTTTTTCTTTGGCAGGAAATAGTTGGACGTTGATAAAATACGTATTGTAATATATCTTTGCTGCTTGTATTTTCTGCATGTATGGAGTAACACCTACAAAAAACTAATCCAGGCTTTATGTTCTCCATGTAAAATTCCATTTAAAGGGAAGATAAGCAATGAAATATAATAGTATATAAATTGTTTTCCGGTCAAATCTCTGATTTCCTTAGGCTCAGAATATTTGTTAATGGCTTCATATGAATGTGTTTTGTACTGTACACGATTTGGACCTTTGGTGATCTCAGGATCAAAGCATTGCCCATGAGAAAATCTGACTACCAACAGTGCATATATTTTAGATGTTATATATATATATATGTATATTTGTATATATGTGTATAAATATCATATATAAATATATATGTTCATATACTTTCATGTGCTTCAACACATCAGTCTTCCAAAAATAGTAAAACAACTTCTAACAACATTTCCCCCAATAACAAATGTATTTCAAATATTAAGTAAATTAAAACAATTCATCAGCTCTCATCAATAATGCTGTATCCCTGTGACTCCAGTCCAGCAGCAGTAGCTGGATTTTCAAAGGTTTTTGAAAATTATTTGAAGGTAAATTGTGCAACTGGAAGATACAAGTTTATCTTCAGATTTGAACCTGGTCCATTTTAAATTTCAACTTTTTCAGAGAAAAAAATTAATGAAGTAATTCCTCGCTTTGTGGTGCATATGGGTAGAGGAATGTCTAATCCAAGTGTACTCTGAAAAACCAAATACATAAATGTAAGTGAAGGAGAGCCTCTAGGATTAAAGTGTGGTATATATAAAGACATTTTTCCTTTTCAAAGTTTGCCCTCTAATTAAAGAAATATAATTTGTTTCCTTTTTATTCCTGTTTTAGTTTTCTTTTGTTTTTTGTTCCTTTGAAGTTGTTGATTTCCACTTTGGAAACTGGAGAAGAATAAAACTAGTTTTAGTTAAACATGGAAAATTTTTTTGCAGGTAACTTCTAATATATAGGCATTTCTGTTTATATATCCATAAGATCGAGGTTTCTTGGTTTCTTTCTTTTACCATACTGATATTATAAGAGTTTTTAAAAAACAGTTCTGTCTTTTAGAGAAAGCAGTTTTCTTTTTAGTCATATTTTCTAAATTCGTCATGCAAAGAAATGTCAAAAGAAAAATAAAAGTTGCATTAAGAACCTTTTTCTTATTTTTGATAAACTATTTGAGCCATTTGTTTTATATTTTTGTGTAAGACATTCCTTTAGGGTTAAATTAGCTTTGAAAGGGCGTATCTAATCATAAAGGCAACCTTCAATTAGGAATTTTATTTGCACTCCTTTGACCTTTATTTTATATTTGATTGTCCTGTTTTCTTGACCTGGTGCCTCAGCCATTTTACTAGCTCTATGACCATGTGAAGGTTGATAAACACTTCTAAGCTTCAGTTTCCAGTTTCCTCAGCTGTAAAAAAGAGATAAAATTATGATATCATGCATGTAGGAATATAAACATGATAAATTCCATACGTGTATGTGCAAGTGCCATATATACATATAAATGCATACCATGCGTATGTGTGCATATATGTATATATATGCATACATGTAAATGTACAGGTGTATATATAGTATATGTATATATACACACATAGTATATGTATAGTGTGTGTGTGTGTGTATATATATATACATGTCTCTTGTTCATTTAGACCTCATAAGTCAAATGTGGAACCAAATATATTTACTGAAGAAAAGCTGAAAGTTTTATACTACCAATATAAGGTCATATAAGTGTCAATATATAGGCATGCATATAGTATGTATATATACATATGTGAATATAAGTGTATATCTCTCTCTCTCTCTACACAAATAGTGTGTATTTGTGTGCTTAGATGCTGTCATTATAATTCATTTATTTTTCTCAGTTTTGTCTCCAATCTTTTTATTACTATGATTAATAAGTGTTTTAATTAAATCATTAATAAAATGCTCCAAATATGTCAGACTAAATGTTTACTTCACCTTTATTGAGAGAAAGAGCATGACTGCTGGTACTGAATTGGGGATTTCAGTTTTAAAAGATTTTTCGAGGAATTTGAAATTACAGCGAATTGTGATCTGTTCGAATAGACAAGAAAATCTGGTTCTTTTGTAGAGAAATAAAACCTTCAACTTTGTGTAGATTTTTTCTTTTATTTTTCTTCTTTTTTTTCTTTTTCTTTTTCTTTTTTCTTTTTTTGCAAATTGAAAGGACAACATGGATAAAGAGATGAAAATCAGATTTTTTTTTTGAAATCAGAAGATGGGAAATAGTAAGGATCCTTTTAGATTGTCATTTAAAATTGAATTACATTCTCATTTAAATAGAGAAAGCTTAGAAAGTAGCCTACAGGAATTCCCCCTAAGGCTGAAGCCAGACATTCTTTGCTGATTTAGGCCCTTAATTAGGCATAAACTAATCATGCTGTGAGCTCTAGAGACAAGATGACACATAATTGTTAGTGCTAATTTCTTAATTGTTAGAAAGTGATACTTCAGTACATGCTTCATCCAACAAGAATGATCTGTAGTCTGGCATCTCCTCTCTCCATGTGTCAACAATTTACACTTATATTAAAGAAAGAATACTTAACAATACACTTAATTCTGTTTATAGTGTCCTCAAAACAAATTTGATTTTAAAATATAACCCCCTTTCACTAATGGAAAGATTGATGTGGCTCTTCAGTACTGAAAATGGGAAATTCAGTCAACATGTATAAAATGATTTATATTAACTCACCAGTGCTATATTATCCAATGGCAAGTCCAAATGGCATCAGAGGACAAAAATGTCTATTGGATACATCAGCCTTCTAAATTTGTTCTGTACTTACATTGTCTCAAAGATAAAAATTAGAATAATAATTAATTATGATTAGTATTAATTCATATTTATTTTATGCTGTGACTTTAGTTGAGGTCAAGAAATCAAATACATAGTATAGATCCGTATTTCCTTCTTTTGCAAAAGACCTGGATTTCAAGGAGGGGTGGTAGTTATAATAAGTTTACTTGCATTTACTTAAAGAAGTAATAGAAAATGTAGGGTTAAAATTCTTGGAAATGACAGTTGAGAAAAGGAACATAATAGGGGAACAAAAAAATAAGAATGTCAGTTTTATGTTGTTGTTGTTGGTTAACATACAATGAGGCCTTTCTCATAGGAAGAAAGCAAGAAATAGTTCTTTTGCCTCTGGTTCATTTAGACTTCATAAGTCGGAGCCAAATATATTTACTGAAGAAAAGCTGAAAGTTTTATGCTACCAATAAAAGGTCATATAAGCTCCAATATATAGGAATGCATTTTCTTCCCTTCTTTATTCTCTCTTCTCCCCTTCTTGTGCCACTGAATGGACTTCAAAGGAAGAAAAGAGGATAGCACAAAGTAGATTTGTATATTATTCCAACATTAAAAAGAAAAAAACAAAATTTAAGGCAATGTTATTAGTAAATTTTAGTACATTATGGTTTGCAAATATTAAAATTGTTGCAGTTTTCTTTTCAAAAGTGATTTTAGTGAGTTTTTTCTTATGCTATTAGGATAAGTGTGCATACATTTTGTGATACACTAATGTTAAAGTGCACGTTGAGAATTATAACAGCAAGAGCTTTAAAAGTCCTGAGAAAAATAATTTCAACTCAGCTTTCAGCTCCCAAAAAAGCCTGAGCACAGCTTATGCTCCCAGGACTGGGGATGCAGTGATGATTGTCTCTGTGCTGCCACCAGAGGCTGACGGTATAGTGAGAAGACTCTTCTCCAGGGCAAATAGTCGTGTGGACCCAGCAAGACCTATGGGTGGTGAGGGAGCAATGGATAAAGGAGGCGCACTTGTGTTTGGATGTCTGTCTTTGCTGAAAGCACAGCTCTGAATGTCCTCACAATGTGTTCCACCCTTTTCCTAACCTTCTAACAATGAACTGTGTACATGAAAACATGTTAATTTCAATATCTATATTTACTACTATTCTAATAATTTACCACTGATTCATAATTTTTTATTAGAAAGATTGTAATTTCATTATTGACGGAAGTCCAGTGTAAAGATATTTTAACGTAACAGTCTTACAGTATTGACACATATGAGTTCACTCTAATTTGATCCCAATTTATATTTTCAAAAACATAGTATCCTGGCCAGGTGTGGTGTCTCATGCCTACAATCCCGGCACTTTGGCAGGCCGAGGCGGGCGGACCACGAGGTCAGGACAGCGAGACCATCCTGGCTAACATGATGGAACCCAATCTCTACTAAAAGTACAAAAAATTAGCCTGACGTGGTGGCATGCGCCTGTAGTCCTAGCTACTCAGGAGGGTGAGGCAGGAGAATTGCTTGAACCCGGGACGCTGAGGTTGCAGTGAGCCGAGACTGCACCACTGCACTCTAGCCTGGGCGATAGGCCAAGAATCAGTCAAAAAACAACCAGCCAACCAACCATAATATCCTCTCCTTTATATTTATTTTTTAAAGGTCAAATACTCTGAATATTCCAGTGATCATGTTTGAGATGACGAGTCTTTCTAAAATGCATAATTAGACATACGTAGGTAGCTCTTATGATTTGATAGGAAAATAATCTGTCCCTAATTTTCATAAGTTCTTGAAAGTATTTATAAGCATTAGTAATATTTGTAATATCAAGTGAAATGAAATATGCCAGGTTTTAGCCATAGTATTAGATCACCAAATTCTAGTTATCTAATCAAACATATTCCTATCTGATAAAATTAATAAACCAGATAAATTAATGGAATTAAAGTGTAAACACTGTGAAAGCCTAGGTATAAACAACAAAATGTGTTTCTGGAAGAGTAGCTAAAGAAAAACTTAGATGTCATTAGGTAAAATACACTTACAGTTTTAAATAGCACGATGTGTCACATACTAATACTCTATAGAACTTGAACTTTCATTATGAATAATATTTATAATAAATATAGAAATGATACCACAAGATTTTTCTCTCCAAAATAGGTGAATGTGGTGTGTGTGTATGTGTGTGCGTATGCCTACTATAAGTTATAACAAGTTCATTCAGGTTTTATAAATAAAGCAATAATGTGCATAATAATGATTTGCAAATATGTATTAATTGTGTATTTATGCAAAACTCTTTACTAAGTTTTCATTTATTGGAACCACTTTCAGCACTACATAATTAACTCTATAACCAACTAATTCAACTAAAATGAGATCTGGAAAAATCATCTTTGCATAGCTTTACAATCTGATTTTTGAAACTACAGTAAATATAAATCCTATTTACATTATTTTACAAATCACAGCACTGTTCAATTGCATTATTAACCTTTATGTATTTGATTTTACATTTAAAATCTATTACTCCATTAATTGTTGACTGGCTTCAAAATTAGCCAAACAAAACCCAGCTATTATTTTACCTTCAGGACCCCAGAGTTGCACTGGCTAGTAGAGCAAATTATAATAACTACAAGCTTTCTAGAGAAGCCATTTTAATTCAATTTGCTTATACTTAATAAACATTTCTTGAACAGACCAGGGCCTGCAAGCTGCTAAAAGAATAAAGATGGGTCTGTTTTAATCCTTATCTGTAAACATGTTTGAAACAGTACTGTCAAAAGGAAAGTATGATGCTGGAGGATTGTTAAAAAGTGCAGCAGTTTTCTGCCTCTGGAAGTGAAGACTGGATTTTAACTTTGAGATAAAGCCCTTTCTGCAAGATAAACAAAATTGTCAAGCGCTTTTTTCATTTAGGTGTAAAACAAACACCTACTCATTTTTCCTAAGGTTCTTCCCCAGTGCAGATGGTGAGAAATAAGTTATATGTTCAATTTCATGGGGAGGATTGGGTGCTTCTGAAGTTTAGAATAATTTTCCTTTCTTACATTTGTCATTAGAGCCCCCAAAGCCTGAAGATGACTAATTATTCTTAGTATATACTTTTAACTTTTTGTCATCGGTTGCCACAATGATCGGAAGCTAAAACCAATCATATCAGTGATGGTCAAACTTCTTTTTATCTCATCACTTACAGAAGCTGAATAAAAGACAATTGTCTTTGTTTGGGTTCCCTTTGAAAAAGATCCTGAGAAAAAGTTTTAAATACAAGTACATAGTTTATTTGGGAAACCAAACCAAGTCTGAGAAATACCAGAAGGAGATAAAGACATGGAGCATGGAAGGGAAAAAAACAAGAGGGTGCATATTGGAATCAGTTACCAAAGAGGGCAACTGGAGCTCAATCCTGTTGGCCAAATCTGGGAAACACTAAAGAAGGTACCTTAGAGGTACTCTAGGAAAGAGAAGCTGAGATGTTTATCCTTAACATTGAGTCCCTTATTTGTTGAGAGCAGATTTAGGGAATATTAATTCTTGGCACTTCTGGTATGCCCTCTGTAGGAGTCAGATATGAAGAGCAAGAAAAAAAAGCCTTCAGACCAAGAGGATCACAGTATACACAGCAAGCAGCCTAAGAAAACACGAAGACTAAAGGGACCAAGAATTGAATGCTGAGTAAGAAAGATTTTTTTTTTTTTTTTTTTTTTTTTTTGCTGTCAAACAGGCACCTCCATCTAACACGGAGTTTAGGAAGGCTCTTGAAGTGAGGAAATGGGGCAGAAGACATGTAGTAGGACTTAAACCCAAAAGACTTTCTAGAGAAGATGTTGCAATTCCATTTGATTACATGTAAACATTTCTTGAACAGATCAGGGCCTGCAACATGCTAGAAGAGTAAAGATGGGTTCATTTTAATCCTTATCTGTAAACATGCTTGAAACAGTAGTGTCAAAAGGACCCATATCAGGAAAGGAAAATCTCTGAATGTTTCAGAGGAGCTGACAGTTATCTGAGTGTGTTTGTTATTGAAGCTCTGAATTAGCCGGAGATGATGTGCTGTGTATGTGCTGTGCTTCATTTGAGATTATAGTGTCCAGGGGCTTCTCTTTTGTACGTAAGGCACCCATCTGAGGATTCTGGAATTTGCTGTCTCTGCTTTGTGTGTGCCACGCTAGTGTTGGGATTATGTTTCCAGTTAGGTTGGCCCAAGTATCAGCAGACTGGGTGGCCCACACAGGGTTTATCAGATCAGTGCCAAGAGACAAAATAATACCAGTTTTAAGAATTATTATATTAATTTTGGGCAGCATCTGGGGAATCAGACATATTCTCATTGATAGTAAAAAGTGAATAAGTATTTGCTCTACAGTTAACTAACAGGGCTTAACAATTTTGTTTATCTTGCAGAAATAAGGGTATGGCAATTGGATTTGAAGGAAAATGGCATCTCTACAATTAATCATCATGGGATTTGGAAGACCTAAGGAGAAAACTAGGTGAGTTTTCCTTAGTCCTAATTATATGAGTTCTAGAAATTAAATGTTGTAGTGATAATGAAAGGTCTGTCCATGTTGTACAACTACAAGATGTAACAGAGGTAACTACTCATACATAGAGACAGATTTACCAAGGTTGGGCCTAAAAGTATATGATTTTTTGGCCTAGAAACTTGGCCAAGAGAGATTAAAATTGTTGTGAGATTAATAATGGGAAGGAAGATGAGGGTATGAGTAAATGTCTAATAGATATATCTATACTCATATTAATAAGAAAATTTAAAAGATACACTTTTTTCTCTTATATTTATAATTCTAATTATATAGATTAGGAAATGACAATTCCTAAAATCTAGAGATAAAAATTTAATCCAAGGTTGTCAGATACCAAATCTGAGACTATACAATATACCACACTGACATATTAGATTGACTCAGAAATCACAACAGCTGCATTTATAATATGCTACCAGTTTAATTAACTTTGCACTATTAATAGTTTCTGAATTAGGAGAACCAGTGGGGCCAATGAGACCCTGAGCTTGTCAGCAAACATTCCCGGGTCAGACACCCATGTGTCCTGATTAAAACCACAATTTGTGTAAAATACTTTCATTCAGAGAGAGGGGGCCTCAAAAGACCTTACTTAATTGAATGTTTAGTCAATTAAATGTCCTCCTGATCCATGCAGTCAAAACATTTAATGGCAAGAAGGAAAATCATTTCTCATTTCTAAAACTAGAGAGTATATTTTTAATGTGAAAGGTTATTTAATTTTACCGTATTAAAACAAATGAGGGCCAGTGGTTTTATAATATCAACATATTTGTTTACATTGTAAAGGGCTATTTACAATAAAAGCAATTTTATATTACATGTTAGTTTTTGTTTCTGTTTTCAGAAAAAAATGTAAACTAAAAGAAAAAAACAAACACAATTGTATTTCAAATAAATCTTAATCAAACTGAAAAGAAAAGAAGCGAAAATCTAATCCAAGTGGTTTATGAATACATTTAAATCTTTAGGAGCATGTTTTTGGGGAAAACTGCAAAATCTTTTTTGTTATGTGGGCAAAGCGATCCTGAAACTAGGATGTATTATAGGACTAAGCAAATGAGTAAATATATTGATATTATTGAGAGTCAGAGTTCTCACTATGAAAGAAGTGGCATTTAAATAAGCAATGGGGAAGGAAAAAAAGAATTCTGTGAGGACAAATCATATTAAAGGTATTGGTGTGGGCTCATGATTTCTAATATGTGTGCATGTGTGTTTATATACATATGTATGTGTATATATGACATGTATACACATGTACTACAATATTTTTTTTTCCTCAAATCCACGTTTCTTTCATAGAGACTCAATGCCAAGCATTTAATGCAGTCTGCAAACTTATTCCTTGGAACAGTCTGGTTCTAGCACTTTCTTAAAATTTCTTTATCTATCTATATATATTTTCTTAAAGCCAACATCGTGTAAATTAAAATCAGTCTTTGTTTCCTTATTTCTTATTTTGAGTATATGAAATATGTTTAAATGGAGACAGGGCAAATACTGATATATGTTGCATGAGGTGCAAATGTGTGGTCCATTTAACACAGTGGTTCTTAGTCAGGTTATTTTGCCCCTAGGGAACATGTAATCATGTTTAGAGACATTTTTCATTGTCACAGCTAGGAGTGGTGGTGGTGTTGGTATCTAGTTGGTGGGGGCCAGAGATGTTGCTAAACATCTTACAATGCACAGGATACTGCCTCACCCTCACTCCCACCCCACAAAAAATGAGCTGATCCAACATGTCCACAGTGCTGGAGTTAAGAAATCTTTATTTAACTGAATAGAAGAGACACTATTAGGATTATTCGGGCAGATTTGATTTTCAAGTAGATACAGAACTATAACTTACCGAATAAAAATCATATTTTTGTTTTGTAAACACATTTTTGTGACATTTCAGCATTGTCTTTTATCATTAAAACCTGTACTGTACAGATATTTACAGAACAACCATGATTGTCACATGACAATAGTGCTTTCCATTTTAAACAGCTTTTCTCTTGCTTTTCCTATTGTTTTCAGAACCATCTAAAGTATGACATTTAGAATTAAGGTTTTAAAAAATTACTCTTATTTCTCATTCATTTTTGAAGTTTCCCACTTCCTATGTGATGTTGGGGGAATGTTTTTGTTTTTCTCATCTCATATAGACGTTCTCAATTTAGGATGTATATTGGAATAATCTGGGGAGTCTTTAAAAAAATTCTAATGCCTGGGTTCACTCCCCAGATATTTTTATTTGTTTGATTTGGGATGATGCCTATTTCTAAGACGTCTTCAGGTGATAATAACATTAGCTAAATTTAAGAAACACTAGTATATTCTTTTTAGCTAAATTTATCAATGAAAGTTAAGCATTTTAATTATTGATGTGCTTCATTTAAAAAATGATCATGAGATCAATATAAAATAATACACAGTGAATAGATTGTAAGGAATTAATACTTAACTACCAAGTGGGCTCTGCTATTGCTCCAAAAAAATTATTTCTATTAGCATATCCTCTTCCTCCATCACCTAAATCAATGTTGGGATGCTCTGACTAGACTGAGTTTATAAAAAGGACCATAATTTTCATTTATCTTCAGCTGTTATCCTGATACCTACTGGCTATCAATATCCTGAAACTTATACACCACTGCAAATTAATCTATGAATCCTTAATATGTTCTGGACTATGTGCTAAGCACTTTATGGCATCATGTCATCTAGTTCTCAACAAAGCTCAGTAAGCGAGTGATTATTTGCTTCCTCTACAGTTGAGAAGAATGGCTTCAGACACAAAAATCCACCTTGTCATTCAAAGCTAGTAAGTGGCAAACCCAGAATTTGAACTCAAGTGAATGTTTCTGAAAAGCCATGATTTTAACCTTTGTTGTGCATGCTCGCCATAAGGGGACTACTTGATGCTGAGTCATACAAAGACCACAGGGACCCATGAGGAGGGAAATGCAGAAATGGACAGGATATGAAACATCTTCCTGCCCCATGTTACCATCCTGATCCCCCTGCATTTCTTTTATTGCTTAATTTTGCAAGCCCTGGTTAGGGAGGCTGTTCTATGTGAAGTGCTTCAGTAGAGTTGACTTTTCTCTAAAATTTATTTTCTTTACGTTTTCTTTTTGTAGAGAGAGTGTCTTGCTATGTTACCAAGGCTGGCCTCTGTCTCCTGTCCTCAAGCAGTCCTCTTGCCTTGGTTTCCCAAAGTGCTGGGATCATAAAGCCGCAGCATCCAGCCTGAGACTAGTTTGACTATGTTTAGGAAGATCATCCCTGCAGAAAATACCAGGCAGAAATTTCACAGCAGCATCCTTTGGGAAGGTGCTACAGACCATGGTTATAAAGAAAAACATGCCTACCAATAGATCAATAGAATTCTTGGTGTAGCGCCCTTCTTTTCTTTGTTGTTCTGTTGATTACACTAGGAATATAGTGACTTGGGCTCTTTTGTTGTAAGTAACTGAAATAAACTCTGGGGAACTGGTAAATTTAAGCAAATGGAACATTTTTAAAGGGTATGTTGGAAAAGAAGGCTGAAGAACCAGGCTTGGAAGAAATAGCTACCATGCAGTTGCCAAAAGTCTTCACAAAAGAAATCACTTGACAGTTTCACCTGAGATCCACTGCTGGAAAAAAAGAATACCATTTTTTTTTTTTGTCCTTACATTAGTTGAGAGTCAAAATCTTAGGAGAGAAGTTCCAATTAGCCAGATTTAGGAAACACGTTTCATACAAGGGCAATGAGAAGGTGAATGACAGCATCTGGTGGAAGAAACTTCCTCTTTTCATGGGATGAGGTTAAAATTGCTTAACTTATTCCCTACCGAGATTCTATAAAAATAATATAGACTAAGCACTTACCCAAAAGGAATAAGGATATACACAAAAATGGCAAATTCACAATATGGGGTGTCAGCAGAAGGCATTGTACAACAAAGACACAAAATAAAATATTTCACATCAGATTTAGATTCCCTTTTTTTTAAAAAATAGAAAATCCTGAAATACTAGACCCACACATCCCCTCAGGACAACCATCTGTTGGACTGGAAAAGAGGCTGCTACCTCTAGATCGACATACATTATCCAGTTCCCCATAGTCCTCACCGCTCTTTATTATCTCACACCTGGCCCCTTCACATCTTTCCAGTACTTCTATGGTCTCTATAGTCCTAGGGGTTCTTGAATTATCCCATGAAGGCTCTCCAGGAAGCTCTCTTTTATGGTTGATAGCCAAGAATAACTTCATCAAACTTGGAAAAAAATCAAACACTTCTGCCAAGAATTACTATATTAGTTGCAACACCTCTGCTGGATCTGCCCTGTTCCCTCACCCTTCTTTCACTGAGGCCTTGTCCACATTTCCAGAAATGTTGAAATCAGCATATTCAAATCTCTTTGCCTGAGATGCTGCTGAGAAACCACACATCTTAGATTAAGAAGTCATGTTACTATGACCTCTTCTGGAACTGAGCTCTGAACAAGGACACTACTTTCTCAGGACAAACACTCCCACAAAACTTCTTTAAGCTCTGTGTTTTCCCTCTCTGTACTGTCTCTTTCTGATTCACGCAGTTTTCATCTTTCTACCAAACTTCCAGTTCAGTTCATAAAGTAATTTTCGTCTGACCTGTAGGCTCCTTAGACTTTGACATTGACCTTTATCCAAAAGGAAAGCCAGAATTTTCTTTCTCAATCTAGTCCTTGGAGAAGCAGTAGTTTCACACAAGGCTATGAAGGTACTTACCAAAAATCAGCTGTATTTGTTATCCCAACTTCTTTAACTGACAGGTGCAGTAGCTATGGTAGGTTACATCAGGCCTATAAAGCTAACCTAGAGAAATATTAATATCATTATGGAGAACATGTTTATTCTTCATCTGAATGTGCTGCCACATAATAAACAGTTGGCTCCTTGACTCTTTTTTATCTGGCCTTTATGCAGGCTTGTTAAAGAAATAACTAAGGATTGGAAAAAAATTCATGATAATGTGACATCCACAGAATATTTTTCCTGATAAATGGAGTAGAAAGACTGAAACAATGGAAGCACTACAGAGAAAAGCTATCAAACCATCCTTGGTCTTTGAGAAACTAGTTTCCCTTAACTAGTGTCTTACAGCATGAGAGAAGGATTTCTTTTTTTTTTTTTTTTTTTTTTTTTTGAGACTGAGTCTGGCTCTGTCGCCCAGGCTGGAGTGCAGTGGCCGGATTTCAGCTCACTGCAAGCTCCACCTCCCAGGTTTATGCCATTCTCCTGCCTCAGCCTCCGGAGTAGCTGGGACCACAGGCGCCCGCCACCTCGCCCGGCTAGTTTTTTTTTTTTGTATGTTTTAGTAGAGATGGGGTTTCACCGTGTTAGCCAGGATGGTCTCGATCTCCTGACCTTGTGATCCGCCCGTCTCAGCCTCCCAAAGTGCTGGGATTACAGGCTTGAGCCACCGTGCCCGGCGAGAAGGATTTCTTAATTATTCAAAGTTAGACTGCAATGTGAAATGGGAAGCTGTTTCAGCCTGGCCAGGCAGTTCAGTTTGCTTTTCACACTTGTAGCACCAACTTCTTTCCAGTGGTTCTTAACCTTGTCCGATATTTTTTTAAGTGGCACCATGTGAACATGGGGGAAACTTGGGCAACTCAAGGAAGAGAGTTTGTGCAGGAGCCTTGTCAGATGAGTCCACTAAATCTTAGGGGAATCTGAGCTATATTAGATACCACCTTGCCTTCTTGACAATTCTACTGAAAATCCTGCTGGAAAATTCATCACTGATTTATTATCTGAGCACCAAAAGAAACAGCTGAATAGTATGTAAGGGTCTTACTTTATAAAAAATAGGTATTTTTGAGCATTAGTTTTTTCCCCCCCAAGATGGTATGTTAGAGGCTTTTAGTGTGCCTTAGCCATTTGGAAATGCAAGATAGTGCATGAAGATCAACTCTGTGAGCTTTAATTCAAGAAAGAAAGCAGAATCCACTGGAACCATGAAGGGCATTCCAGATTAAAGGGAGAAGAATGTGGGGAAACATCCCCTGTGAATACATCTGCTTGATAAAGGCAGATCTCCAGGCTTTTGGAGCACACACTCACCTGAAAGAGCAGCCAGAACCACCCCACACTTCCTGTGCAGAGATTGTGGTGCAGTGGGGCCCTCTCCACTCTATGCCCAGGCATTCAGAGCACCCAGTTGCCCAGATTGGCAGCTTCTGTTACCCTACCCTTCTTGTGCAGTGATCTGGGTACATGGAGACCCTCTCTGCTCTGGACTCAGCCAGATCTCCAGGCACTCAGAGCACCCATATATCTGCATCAGTACCCTAAGCCAGTCCACCCTTTCTGTGCAGAGACTGTGGAGCAGCGGGGCTCTCTCTACCCCATGCTCAGGCAGGTCTCCGGGCAATAGGAATATTTGTTTGCCTGAATTAGCACCCTGAGCCACCACTGCATTTCTGTGAAGAGACTGTGTGGTGGGACCCTCTATACTCTATGCCCAGGCAGATCTTCTGGCACCCACTCTTCTGAATTAATAGTTTAGGTAGCACCCTTCCCCTTGCAGAGAACGTGAGGCTAAGGAGGTTTCCTAGTTCCACACCTAGGCACATCTCTGAACACTTGTTAGTTACTCACTGGATTTTCCCCCAGTGCTGGTGCATGTGTCCACAACCAGGATACTTGTAGTGGACCTGCCTGGAATGACCCTACCTCTCTTGCCCCTGTACATTCTGGGCTAAGCAGGGTACTCAGACCACTGTGTACTCCATAGATCAGCCCAATGTCTGAGGCAACAGAGAGTATCTCCTGGTAAACAAGGATTAAGTATTAATACACACCCAGCAACAGGCATGTTGGCCATAGCTGGCTCTTACCCATAAGTGCCATCTATTGGCTTGTAGGTTGAATGACACAGCCCAATATAAAACCAACTGAAAAAAAGTGTATATGTCTATAGAAGCATTCTCTACAGTCACACTCACAAGGGAGTTGGGAAAGGAAAAGGAAAAGGGGGAAAAAACCCTAATAATATCATAGGAAAATTTTAAAAAGTCCTATTCATACAAAAATAATAAAAAGTAGAAATGCCAGTGTCTCCAGATGAGAAGGAACCCACACAAGATTTTCTTGAAAAATCTGAATGTAGTGACACTACCAAAGGCTCTCATTATCTCTCCATCAATGGTTCATAATCAAAATGGAAATTCAGAAATGACAGAAAAGTAATTCGAAGCATGGATTGCAAGAAAGCTCAATGAGATCCAGTACAAAGTTGAAAATCAGCACAAAGAAACTTCTAAATCAATCCAGGAAATGAAGGAACAGATAAACATCTTAAAAAATAAGTCAACCAAGCTTCTGATGTTGAAAAGCTCACTTTATAATGCCAAAATACAATTGAGATTTTTATCAATAGACTGCATTAAGCAGAAGAGAGAATTTCAGGTTTGAAGGACAATCTTTTGAACTAACTCAGTCAGACAAAAATAAAGAGAAAATAATTTTTAAAAATCTTCAAGGACTATAAGATTATATAAAGTAATCAAACCTACAAATTATTGGCATTCTTGAGAGAGGAGAAAAAATAAACAACCAAAAAGACACGTTTGAGAAAATAATTCAGGTAAATTTCCCTAGTCTCCCTGAAGAGGGAGCATCCAGATACAAGAAATCCAGAGAAGACCTGCAAGATACTTTACGAAATGAATATCACCAAGGCATATAGTCACCAGACTATCTAAGGTCAATGCTAAGGAAAAATCTTAAAGACAGCTAGAGAAAAAGTTCAGATCACATACAATAGGAACTTCCTCAGG